CATACACATACACACGTCAACCATAGTCAGCCTATGATGGTCTGTGGTCTGATCATGACACCACCCCTTCAAAAGACAAAGGACACAGTTTGGCGCAAGTCTTTCTCCTTTACGTCGATAAATCTGTGGACATCCATCTGTAAAGGATAAGTTAAACCTGGATTCATCTGAACAAATGACATCTGGCCATGTCCTGTTGCCAAGATTGGCCCCATCGCCACCGTCGTCATATGAGCGAAATATTCTCAAGCACGACGTAAAACCCAATTTCACCTCACCTCACCTAGGTGAGCTTTAGGCGAATATTTCTTTAAACGCTTCTATACCAAGGAAAAAAGTTAGAATTGCTGAACTGCTATTACACGAAGATGACGATTTGGAAAGAAATAGTATATTTGTATTGTTTTGCCGCAGCTACGGGAGTCCAATATTCATTCTCAAAATCACCAATGCGTTTCTTTTCTTTGTTTTGAAGAGTATAAATCAGACCCGGTACAACAGACCAGTACAGCACATTGGTGCGTTAGATAAATACATCAGACGTCAGCCTGGTACATCCCTCAAGTACCCCAGATTAAACCAGAATATATCGGATACAAGAAAAATATGCTCAAATGTCTCGTAACTGGCTTTCCCGGCCGCGTCATACCAAATGACGTTAAAATATGGTAACTTGTTGGTCCCTGCTTGGCACTCGGCATTAATGAGTACAACAAGGACTGGTCGGCATGGCGTCAGTATAATGTGTCTGGGTGGGGTATTCATGCTTCACTGCGGCATGGCATCTCAGTAAGCTAGCACTTTGAAACCAGCTTAAGTCTGGGCTAGTTAAAGCAGCCACACATACACACATGCACGTCGTCATATGAGCGAAATATTCTTCAGTGCGGCCTTAAACCTCCTCATTTCACCTCACCCATCTGTAACTGGCTCCAGCAGAATTGTAACGCGATTTGTATTTTGTTTGTTGTCCCAAAGCCGCACTGAGGTATATCTTCACGGGTGGATTTATATCAGAATGTGACCAAATTCACGTTTTCCGTAACTCATCACGTAACTTTCTTTGATGCTTTGTTTTCCCTCTTTGGTTATTGGTCACAGGGCAAAAGTAAAATAAGTTCACTGCTTTGTGTTGGAGAGCGGGTTTTGGCGTGACGAGCGAACACACACGTCTCACTCGGCTGCAATTACAATTCAGACAAATTGCGATTGTTCGTTATTTAACGCCGCACTCAGCAATATTCCACATGTGGCGGCGGTCTGTAAATATTCGAGTCTGACCACACGAACCAGTGATCAACATCATGAGCATCGATATAAGCAATTGGGATACGATGACATTTGTCAACAAAGTCAGAGAGCCTGATCCCATCAGGCGCTTTTACTACAAGCATGGGCTGCTGAAGACCAATTCTTACTCGGATCTTCACGGGTGGGACACACTGTGATATCCGAATGTATCCGTTGAGCGTACTGGATGATATCTCACAACAAAGTTTGAACACAAATCAGTTTTAAAGAATATGTTTAATAAAACGGTTTTGAGAGAAAATAAGTTTATCACAGATGATACATGGCAATACATTCTGAGAGACATAAAAAGGACGGTATGGCGATATTAAGAAATGTAATTATAGTATATGCCGGGATTTAAAAGCATTCTGAAAAATAATCGTAAGACTTATAGTGACAGGTTTGCTTTTTGAATACCTGGATCATGTGAGACACACACTCGCCTATCTAATGGTTAAAGGTTTTAAAACTGAAATTTAAAGAAGAGATAAAATACGTGTGCAGTTTACAAGCGTGAGTTACATAAATTACAATCATACACGAGAAACATCTAGTATAAACTAACTATTCATGAACACTTTGAAATTGTAAATATGTGCTTCCTATTTTGTAAACATGAAATATATATGCATAAAGCTCGTTTTTTCCGATTGTCTGTGTAGTATCAATGTTTGACATTTACTGTTATATAAATGGTATGACTGTGGTTTAATAACCCACATATAAAACATTAATTGGTTAAATTTAATGTTAAATCGATAGTGCTACCATGGTGGTTATTCCAGCACCACCACCCAGCCTTGTAGTGTGAGTGAGTATAGTCTTGCCGCCACTTTTAGCAACATTCCAGCAATATCAGCCAGGAACACCAGAAATGAGCTTCACACATTGTACACATGTGGGGAATCGAAACGCGTTTTCGGCGTGACGAGCAAACGCTTTAACCACTGGGCTACTTTCAGCACTGGTACCGAACGCTGGTCACAAAGCAAATACTTTATCCACGAGCCTTAAAGTGAGATAACAGGAATGTATTCACATTTTGTACTTAAGGGTTGAATCGAACGTGAGTTAAAGACTTCCAAACGCATTACAGGTCTAAAAAGTGAGATCGTGGGAATGGTTTCTACATTTTACCATCATTGCAGGTCTTAGAGGCGTACAGCAAAAGCTTGAACCACAGGTCTGAATTGATAAATAGATTCAGCAGCATTAAGTTCCAATATATATGCTCATCATGAGTTATAACACTCACGACACGTCATTAACGGTTATATAACAACAACATATAAATTCGCACAATATTAATACTAATCTAACATACCTTTAGGTATAACAGTCTTATTTTAAACAGAAGACAAAATGCAAGGCATCTTTTCCGGTAAGGCTCAATGTACGTCAATAAAACGCATGGACCACGCACGGGTTTTCATGACATTAACATTGACGTACGGCGCTGGAAACAAATACACATGATAGTGATGAATTTTCCGGATAATGAAATTCTTTGATTTAATGATGTTTTAAAAAAAAAATGTTATGGATTATTTGTTCAATTATACAGTACAAATCACGTGCATTAATATGGGTCTGTATTCACAAACTGCAATGAAGTTAGTTTCATAAACATACACACACGGTAAAACACACAACATAACAAATAACAAAATAAAACAGGGTTATGTTATACGCTACAATAGTAATTCGTTATGTGTGCACAGGTGCGTGGCGAACACAATATATATTTCTCTGGTGACGATTTTCAAATTGTTAATCAAACTTAAAAACCATTTAAAATACATCGGGAACTTGACATTTCACATAACAAAATATGTATTAAAATTTAACAGCTTTGTAAATATATATATTAATTTTTTGTATTAAAATTCACATTTATGTAAAATGGATAACAAGTTCATAACGGTTCTATCTATGTGAAGACATTAATAAATACTATATTTGTTTATTTCTTCTTAGCACTTTTCTTTGAAACATCCAGGATGTCTCGTTGTACAAAGCGATCTTAGCGCTAAGGTAATTGTGGACTCCAATACCTGAATATATTCCTACGGCAGCCTTAAACACTAAGGTTGTTTTGTATGATCGGCACCCGGAACAGAAGCCAAGTGCTGTTTAATTCAGGTGGGATTGGTACCACGGTTAGAAGTGGTCTGATAGAGACGGAAGGGCATCTTCTGGGGCAGTGACCGGTGCACTGACACTGGACGTGGTGGTCTGTCGTTGTACATGTCCATGCGGCTGTCCACGCTGAGGGCGAATGCTATTTCTGCATCCGTCGCCGCGGGGCGTTGGGGACAGGTACTTGGTTTCTAATGCTGTTGAATGTCTTCTCACGGAACAGGTAGTCTTCGATGCTGTAAATTGCCCTTTGCCAAGTGCCCGAACGTCTGCGCTCGAATCTGATAAAATAAGCGAGTGAGTTTAGTTTTACGTCAGCTTCTACCAACATTCTATCACGGCGGGGACACCAATATGGGTTTCACACATCTTTTAACCATGTGGGGAATCGAACCCGGTCTTTCGCTGACGAAAGGACGCTTTAACCACTATGTTACCCCACCGCCCCTGATAAAAAATATATATATGATATGAAAGCAAATACTTTAAAATGGATGTTCATTTGTTTTATTTCCAAGTTAGATAATCCTATAAGGGGGAGAACTTTTAATGGTAAAATACTCTTCAAGAATATTTCAACTAGTTATGACTATCTCCAAATGTGACATTGTTCTTTACATTGATCTCACGAAAACATATATGTGTAAACTATTAATATAACTAGCATGCTTGTACTCAACAATAGAACTAAGCCTGAGTGCTTCCACAGTTTGATGTACCTTCAGTAATGTTGATGATGCCTGGAAAAGAGTGGTACTAAGTTGATTTATGTCATTAGGCTTTGAATACCCACAAAGTGGGAGGAGAGTATTGAAAGGTTTTAAAGTTCTGCGCCGGAATGGACCACAAGCACCTATTTCCAGTCTGATCAATGTTGTTGCCATGGAAACGCAAAAAAAATCTTTTATTCAGAAATCCAAAACTACCAAAAGACACCAGTTCACCCACAGACCTATCTATATATACAAGTTTTGTGAAGAAATATTGAACGGTTTTATGTTCCGGCGCCGGATAAAGACGAATTTGCGAGACGCACTTACGGACGGAGTCAAAATAATACCATATATGGAATATGGTAATGGAAATATATTTTATATGTTAAAATGTGTTATTTATAAACAAAACAACGTTAGCAAGCTGTATTACTGATTGAATATGTCAAAACCATCGGATTAGCATTAACAGGTACGTATTACCCGTGAAGGTCGGGTTAGAATATTGATCTTCAGTAAACCATGCTTGTCGTAAGATCACGACTAACGGGATCGGGTAGTCAGACTCACTGGCTTAGTTGACAACATGTCATCGGTTCCTAAATTGCGCAGATCGATGTTCATGTTGTTGATCACTGGATTGTCTGATCCAGACTCTGATTATTTACAGACCGCCGCCATATAGCTGGAATATTGCTGAGTGCGGCGTAAAAACTCAACTCACTCACCCTAACCAGGTACATATAATATCCTGCTGTAATATCCTTACAGAAACCGCAGCCGTCATTAATAAGATTAGTGTGAATGAAACACTCATTAAACACAGAAAACACACACACACACAAATTGGAAACGTCACACGAAGTCCTGCAATGGAATCCAAATAACCCAGACTTTACAAATTGGAGTAAAAAAGAAATTACCTTAATAAATAATAATGACGATAACAATCATAATCCATAATGATAATGATGATCGCATACCGATCAACACTGCGTCAGAAAACGTGCTTTCGCAAGTCTCCGTAAGTATTACCAAAGACTACCAAAGATAACCATCATCCCGACTACCAAAACGTACATCTATATAATGTATGAAAGCAACGATTTTCAAAGCGACAAGATGGAATCTGATAAAGGAGGGTGATAGTTTCACAGAACGATGGTCAGGCTCGCTGACTTGGTTTACACGTCATCGGTTCCCAAATGCGTAGATCGATGCTCATGCTGTTGATCACTGGGTTGTCTGGTGCAGACTCGAATATTTACAGACCGCCGTCATATTACTGTGTGCGGCGTTGAACCACAACCAACCACCACAACAGCCCGAGCGCTAGGGGTATCCCCAATGAGCGCTACAACCGTTACAAGAACGAGCATCCCGGTGACAAACTATTTTAAGTGTTTATTCGCAACCAACCCCCATCGGCCACCACACTCAAGCATCCATATACTGACATTCGCCTTCTTCGCAGTTAGCTTCACACCATGTTAGGTAAAAAAACACTAACAAGACAATGGTTAGTTAAGTTTCAACAACGAAGCGTCTAATATCAATAAAACTTGTTAAGTATTAAATAATTGTATTGAAGATATCTCACCACTTGCTACTTCCCGAACGTCTGACGGAAAAGTTATTTGAAGGTGAGGTGAAATGGGGTTTAACGTCGCACTTAAGAATATTTCGCTCATATGAGGACGTGCATGCGTGTGTATATGTGATGACTGCTTGTACTAGCCAGGACTTAAGCTGGTTTTATAGCGCTAGCCCACTGAGATACCATGCCGCAGAGAAGCATGAATACCTCACTCCAGGCACATTATACTGACTCCGAGCCGATCAGTTCTTGTTGTACCCATTAATGCAGAGCGCCAGACAGAGAACAACAAGTACCATATTTTAACGTCTTTTGGTATGACGCGGCCGGGAATCGAACCCGCGACCTTCCCTCACTCCGGGCGGGTGACGAAGAGAGCCTATGGTCGAAGATGTAAGTTAAGAAAATATGAAAACATGTCGAGTGAAATAGTAAAGCGATGATGCAATAATTTTAACATATATGTTTCGTTTGTTTTACCTAGCTTTTCTGTCAGGAAAGCCTCAATTGAATATCAAATTATTCAGATTTGCACCATTTTAGATCGGTAGACACATAAGGATGTACTGAACGTTTCGGGTAAACGTGTGTTCAATGCCTACCGTAGGTCTTTGTCTTGGGCACGATGACGAACTTCCAGACGAGGGAATATGACGAGGATGATGACGAAGAGTAGGATGACCAAGTACAATAGCGGCGATGATTCCGGGGCTCAAACCTTTGTCTGCGTTCTGTTAAAAATCAAACGTTGTCTGAAATAGGACCTTGGCTGATAAAGAAGCCGAGAACATTGGTGACTCAGACACTTAAGCTTGATTTAAGTCGCCGTGTGGATTCTTGTTGTCTCAAGGCCATTGCTAAATCCTGGACCCAATGTGCGGATTCACAATGTGCTCACCGTACGTTTGTAGCTTAAATATTGAGGTCAATAGTTAAATATGTGTCTCAAACGTGCATCGTCAGTACTTAAATATTTGTTTCAAGCGTGCACCGCCAATACTTCAAAACGTGTCTCAAACGTTCGCCGTCAATACTTCAAAACGTGTCTCATACGTGCACCGCCAATACTTCAAAACGTGTCTCAAACGTGCGCCTTCAATACTTGAATATCTGTCTCAAACATGCACCTTCCTTACTTAAATATCTGTTTCAAACATGCACCATCAATACTATCACATATCTGTCTCAAACGTGCACCGACAGTAATGAAATATTTGCCTCAAAAATGCACGGTCAATACCTATATATTTTTCTCAAACGTGCACCGTCAATACTTCAGTACGTGTCTCAAACGTGCACCGTCTATACTTTAATACGTGTCTCAAACGTGAAACCGTCAGTACTAAAATATCTGTATCCAACGTGCACCGTCAAAACTTAAATATTTGTTTCAAACGCGCACCGTCAATACTTCAAAACGTGTCTCAAACGTTCGCCGTCAATCCTTCAAAACGTGTCTCAAACGTGCACCGCCAATACTTCAAAACGTGTCTCAAACGTGCGCCTTCAACGGGTCTTAAATATTTGTCTCAAACAAACATATCTGTACCTTCCTTTACTTAAATATCTGTCTCAAACGTGCACCGTCAATACTCAAACGTGAAATATTGTTCTCAAACTTAAATATTTGTCACCGCCAATATCTGTTAATATATCTGTTTCTCAAAACATGCTTTAATATATCTGTTTCCATCAATACTATAAAATATCTGTCTCAAACGTGCACCGTCAGTAATGAAATATTTGCCTCAAAAATGCACGGTCAATACCTATATATTTTTCTCAAACGTGCACCGTCAATACTTCAGTACGTGTCTCAAACGTGCACCGTCTATACTTTAATACGTGTCTCAAACGTGCACCGTCTATACTTCAATACGTGTATCAAACGTGCACCGTCTATACTTCAATACGTGTCTCAAACGGGAAACCGTCAGTACTAAAATATCTGTATCCAACGTGCACCGTCAAAACTTAAATATTTGTTTCAAACGCGCACCGTCAATCCTTCAAAACGTGTCTCAAACGTGCACCGCCAATACTTCAAAACGTGTCTCAAACGTGCGCATCCAATACTTAAATAGTTGTCTCAAACATGCACCTTCCTTACTTAAATATCTGTCTCGAACGTGCACCGTCAATACTGAAATATTGTTCTCAAACGTGCACCGTCAATACTTTAATATATCTGTTTCAAACATGCACCATCAATACTTTAAAATATCTGTCTCAAACGTGCACCGTCAGTAATGAAATATTTGCCTCAAAATTCAATAGGTCAATACCTATATATAAACTTTTTCTCAAACGTGCACCGTCAATACTTCAGTACGTGTCTCAAACGTGCACCGTCTATACTTTAATACGTGTCTCAAACGTGCACCGTCTCAAACTTCAATACGTGTCTCAAAGATGTGCACCGTCTATACTTCAATGCGTGTCTCAAACGTGAAACCGTCAGTACTAAAATATCTGTATCAAACGTACACCGTCAAAAACTTAAATATTTGTTTCAAACGCGCACCGTCAATACTTCAAAACGTGTCTCAAACGTGCACCGCCAATTCTTCAAAACGTGTCTCAGACGTTCGCCGTCAATCCTTCAAAACGATGTCTCAAACGTGCACCGCCAATACTTCAAAACGTGTCTCAAACGTGCGCATCTTCAATACTTAAATAGTTGTCTCAAACATGCACCTTCCTTACTTAAATATCCGTCTCAAACGTGCACCGTCAGTACTGAAATATTGTTCTCAAACGTGCACCGTCAATACTTTAATATATCTGTTTCAAACATGCACCATCAATACTATAAAATATCTGTCTCAAACGTGCACCGTCAGTAATGAAATATTTGCCTCAAAATGCAATAGGTCAATACCTATATATTTTTTCTCAAACGTGCCCCGTCAATACTTCAGTACGTGTCTCAAACGTGCACCGTCTATACTTTAATACGTGTCTCAAACGTGCACCGTCTATACTTCAATACGTGTCTCAAACGTGCACCGTCTATACTTCAATGCGTGTCTCAAACGTGAAACCGTCAGTACTAAAATATCTGTATCAAACGTGCACGGTCAATACTTAAATATTTGTCACAAACGAGCATCGTTAATACTTAAATATTTGTCACACATTTGTACCGTAAATATATTAATATTCGTCACAAACGTGCCGTGTATTATGTACTCACAGTCGGCCCACACGAGACTCCGTACGCCATCTTGCCATCCACCATCATGTAGGGCATCAGGCTAACACTCTGTCCGCCGAAACTGTACTTCACACCATTCTCCACGTCCTTGCACATTTCGTCCATTGCCTGACTGACGCCAGCGTTGCTGCCCTCCAACACCAGTGTGGCGAGGACGCTGCCTGTAACAGCGATAGTGAATGAGTGAGTTTAGTTTTACGCCGCTTATAACAATATTCTAGCAATATCACGGTGGGGGACACCAGAAATGGGCTTCACACATTGTACCCATGTCGGGAATCGAACCCGGACCTTAGGCGTGACGAGCGACCGCTTTAACCACTAGGCTACCCACCGCCCCTGTAACAGTGAGAGAATGGGTTAGGTTTTATTAATTCGTTTTTAAAACTCTGTGTTTAAGTGAATAAAACGTTTACTTTGGCCAATCCTTAGACAACTGGCTGTGTAATACCCAAAGAGCTTTAAAATTAGTCTTCTTGGGCTCAGTCGAGTTTTCTGAAAGGGATATCTTTGGGTGTCTGCCTATGGGTATCCAGTGGGTTAGCACTGTAAAACATGTATTAGAAGAGACTTCGCTTCTAGGTATTTACAAACGCAAGTTGATCTTAGCAGATCTAAGGGACGCAACTCCGCACATGCCCTGGAGGCGCCTTAGAACAAAAGCTCACCCGTGATTCCGGTGCCATGCAATAAAACCAACCTTGCTCAAGTAGTTTAATTTCTTGGATTATTATTCATATTTTGAAAATATGCATTCTTTTATCGTTGAATGTCAGCACCATCACTTTCGAAAATTACAGCTCCAGACACGGACGTACTCACCTGATGCTGCCGTGGAGTCTTTAACTTTCATTCCTTTGTTTTTCTTTGGGATGCCCCAATTCCCTGCCGAACCTCGCCACATCCTTAGCTGACTGCATCGGGGTCATACCTGGTGTCGAACTTGACCTGACACATAGTCGTCTTCTCCTTGGGCATTCCTTCCAAGGCAGCGTTGCTGATGTCAATGTAGCCCTCGTAGATGAAGTCGTAATCCGCTGGCGTTGACGTCACATGGAATTTCGATGTAGTAGCGCCCGATTTCGTCAATTTCGAGGTCACTGAAAGTGGCCAAGCCGGTGGAAGCGTCGAAGCTGACCGTCTTCGTCCTGGATTAGAGGTCATAGTTGCCCTCCGTCATCGAAGTGCTGTCACCGACCACGTGTGACCCTGGATTAGAGAAGTGCATGAGTGACTGAACAAACCGAAACATGAGTCTCTTTAACCTATTCCGACAATGACCTACTTTTCAGCCGATGCGAATTTTCTCGTGTGAAAGTGAAAAGAGACACTACAAACAACTATGGTTACACTAAATTCCTATTCCTCGTTTCATAAAACTAAACTCACTCACTCACTCACACTGATTTTCTGTAACCCACAGCCATTTTGACTACTTTAACCCACAATGTAATCGGTCTCGGCGGAAAATCGATACTGGTTAATATTTGGTGCTACAATCATGCATTCATTATGTTTAATACACAATTATAATGTCACTACACTGGGTTCAACGTGAAACGCGATTTGGACGAACCAAAGTTACAATCATGGCGGAGTGTGCGTTCAACAACAAAAGCTGAGAGTGAGTGATTTCGGTTGAATTCCGATAGATCACAGCCTGTTAGCTAACTGTTTACAAGTTGATGGTGTTATTTCAGAAATGCTGAAATACTCATTTCCTGACATTATGCCCTTCCTGGTTAAAATGTTCAATCGAGTATTTGATACAGGTCGTTTTCCTTCAGTATGGGCGCAATCTATTATTATCCCGTTATATAAAAACGGAAATGCACAAAATCCTGACAATTATAGGGGTATTTCTCTGACTAGTATTCTAGGTAAAACTTTTACATCTATTATCAACAGTAGGTTAACACAATGGTCGAATATGAGAGATTTAATACCGGAACCTCAAGCTGGATTTAGAAAGGACTACTCAACATTTGATCATATATTTACCTTGTATGCTATTATTGAGAGATATTTATCCTTTAGCAAGCGAAAGTTGTATGTAGCTTTTGTAGATTTCAAAAAGGCGTTTGATTCTGTAGATAGAGGTAGAATGTGGAAATGCTTAAGAAATATAGGTTTGAGAGGTAAAATGTATGGTATCATAAGATCGATGTATTCCAATGTAAAGTCATGTGTCCGCTGTGGCTATGGTGTAAGTGACTTTTTCGATTGTCCTGTCGGTCTGCGTCAAGGATGTATTTTAAGTCCTTTACTTTTCTCCTTTTTCATTAACGAATTATATTTAGATATCATGAAGTCTGGTAAACATGGCATCCAACTTTCTCCCGATGTAATCGAACTTTTTATGTTATTATTTGCTGATGATGTCATTCTTATGTCCAGCTCTGTAATTGGTCTTCAAAACCAAATAGATATACTCTCAGCGTATACAGATAAATGGCAGTTGAGTGTGAATCTAGATAAAACAAACATCGTTATATTCCGTAGAGGTGGTCCTTTGTCGGCTAGAGAGAAATGTTTTTTTAAAGATAAACGTATGAATGTTGTGAATGATTATAAATACCTTGGCATATTGTTTACCCATACGCTGAATCTGAATAAGTCCGTACTTAACCTGGCGAGGAGAGCAAAGAAAGCTCTTTTACAACTTCACTCTGTTGTTCCTATGCTCGGTCTTGTTCCACCGACTATTTACTTCAAATTATTTGACTCTCAGATACAACCGATTTTACTGTATGGATCTGAAATATGGGGTGTTAACGAGTATTATACCATAGAGAATTATATCATTTGCTTGCCTGTAAAAAGTTTCTAAATGTTGGTTTGTCAACACCAAATGTTATGGTTTATGGTGAATGTGGGAGGTTCCCATTGTACATATCATCTTATTGTCGTTGTTTAAAATATTGGTGTAAAATAATTAATATGTCTGAACATCGTTTACCTAAAAAAGCTTTCAATATGCTTTTACATCTTGATTATCTTGGAAAGAATAACTAGACATCCCATATTCGCACCTTACTATTTAGATATGGTTTTGGTTGTATTTGGTTATCACAGACAGTTGGCAATGCAAATATGTTTATTAAACAGTTTCGTATGCGGGCTATTGATATGTTTAAGCTGGAATGGCATTCAACTATTAATGAAAGTTCTAGATATGATTCATATCGTCAATTTAAGTCGTTGCTTGAGCCAGAGTGTTATCTTGCTCACCTTCAATACAGAAATATTCGCAATGCTTTTATACGGTTTAGATTAGGCCTTAATGATTTATTAATTAACCGTGGGAGATATGTTTCTATGGAAAAAAACCAAAGATTATGTCCATTCTGTTTCATTATTGAAGATGAATTCCATTTTATGTTTATTTGTCCTGTATATGAAAATCTAAGAAATAAGTATCTACCGCAACTGTCTTTATCTCAAATCAACGTTAATCTATTGTCTTTCTTACTTTCCTGCAAAGAACCTCCAAAACAACACAAAGTTGCTCTATTTATCTACAATGCTTTTTTGTTAAGAAAAGAATTGATTAGTTAGAAAATTGATTATATATGCCATTGTCAAGATGTATCTCTTTTGTATATGGGCCTATGGCCTTTCATACAATAAATAATTGAATATTGAAATCCACATGTAACCTAGGATTGGTTTGTGTGTTGGTTTTTTGTTTAACGCAGCACTCAGCAATATTCCAGCTATATGGCGGCGGTCGATAAATAATCGAGTCTGAATCAGACAATCCAGTGATAAATAGCATGAGCATCGATCTACGCAATGGGATAAGATGACAAGTGTCAACCAAGTTAGCGAACCTGACCACCCTATCCCTTTAATCGCCTCTTACGACAAGCATGGATTACTGAAGATTCTAACCCGATCTTCACGGGTTGTAACCTAGGAACAGCATTTGGGAAACGATGATTCGAATCCGAGACCACTGTTGTGCCAAAGGGACGAAACTCTGCATACGGGTGGCCTTCGACGACAGGGAAAATCATGTCCCTTAGGAAAAGGAGATATCTGATTAATTTTCTGGTGTTGACATCTACGACATGGACGTTGACAACTACGACATGGAAATCTTACCCTCCACGCTATATCCGACAGGGGCATGTTCGTTCCCTTATCCTTCAGCTTCAGTTGGAGAGACATTGGACTGTCTTCGAACGGTATTTCCGTTCTATTGGCTACGTAGGCGCTTAGTTCCCTCTTTAAGATGGTTAGAGCAGGGGAGACCTCTGTGAAGTTGGACTCTGGCGAGATGACGTTGAATTCTACCATGTAATCTGACCCTAGGTGAGAAATGTAAAGATCGGTGAAGTTGGCCCATCCATCCGTCATGTTCACCACTGTGTTTCCTCCCAACATGGCGGACGCGTGACTTCCGGCTCCTGTTTTCAACGTGGCTTCAATCTGCCATGGGTTAAGATCTGTTCCCAGTTTCTCAAGGGCAGCTCCCTGGAATTAAAACGGCGAGTGAGTGAGTAAGTTGGTGTGAGTGAGTGAGTGAGTTTACTTTTACGCTGCTTTTGGCAATATTCCAGCAATATCACGGTCGGGGGACACCAGGGCTTCACACATTGTACCCATGTGGGGAATCGAACCGGGATCGTCGGCAACCCAACCATCCCAATTTTACTTACGGAATCATCGTACAGCCTCAGCCTCATCGGAGTGAGGAAGGGTTGTCCTTCACGTCCTTCAACAGCTGGTTCAAAGAAGCTCATCCTTCCAGCCTTTGACAGCGTGACCGGCTTCGTGTCGGGCTCCACGTGTTTCCAGGCCTCGCTGGCCACAGGGGGGAGGGGTGGGGTCACGGTCACGCTAGTAGGGTATGATCCACCCGGACCAATGTTTAGGCTACCAAGGGCAACGGCATTAGTTACTGCTGCAGTCGCACTGTCCAGAGCCTCATACGACGTCGCGCTTCCCGCGGCGGTACCAGGGGGGTCACCGTACTCCACCACCACCCTCGTCTCCGTGACAGCACGTCGTCGCCGAGATCCGGACGCTCGAACGATTTTCACAATCCTGACCTTGCTAGGGTCAACGTTTAGGAACTTGGCGAGATTCTGGACAATGTTTTCGCCGAAGAATTCCTCCTCGGTCATGAAGGTCAGCCCGACAACGAACTGATTTGTTGTTCGGATCTCCACGGGTGTCGACCCACGGAGATTGACGAACATCATCCCTTCTTCTTGGATCATGCAGTTCTCCCCGTGTGTAGCCGTCGCCGGGTCGGGGAGGCATTGGGTGTTGGTGATGTCGCTTTTGTAGGCGAACTTGCCGTTCTTCATTTCGCCATTGTTGGGAATGATGTACGTGTCGCCGACGTAGACGTCGAGCCTGTGCCGTTCGGCGTAATACACCCCCACCCTGGCGGACTTGGTGTTGTCCGCGTTTAGCAGTTGGAGTCGCAGAACCTGGGGGGACGTTCCGGTGAAGTAGATGTCACTGTTGTCACCTGCAACAGCGGGAGAGATTGGTTATAAGTCTTTAATGATATGACAGTAATATCATGGTATTTCAGCTGACGGAGTAAATAGAGTCAAAGTCACACGCCAATTTGTTCACCGACAGAGGTTTATCATATATCTTCTGTTTGCTTGTTGTTTAACGCTGTATAAATATTCCACCTCTACGGCAGACATCTGACAAGGATGGGAAAGTGATTTTCCTAATAATGGACAGGGGTTATGACTCATTTCTTTTGATAGGGCACCGATTTTCCTAATATTGGATAGAGGTTTATCTCAGGCTTCTTCTGACAGGGATGGGACACTGATTTTCCTAATATTGGATAGGGGTTTATCTCTGATCTTCTGACAGGGATGGGAACGGGACGCTGACCTTCCTAGTAACGGACAAGGCTTTACCACTGATCTTCTAACAGGGATAGGGGCGGGACGCTGATCTTCCTTCTAACGGTCAGGGGTTTACCACTGATCTTCTAACAGAGATAGGGGCGGGACGCGGATCTTCCTTCTAACGGTCAGGGGTTTACCACTGATCTTCTAACAGGGATAGGGGCGGGACGCTGATCTTCCTTCTAACGGTCAGGGGTTTACCACTGATCTTCTAACAGGGATAGGGGCGGGACGCTGATCTTCCTTCTTACGGTCAGATCTTTTACCACCGATCTTCTAACAGGGATAGCGGCGGACGCTGATCTAACGGTCAGGGTTTACCACTGATCTTCTTCTAACTAGTGACAGTCAGGGGTTTACCACTGATCTTCTAACAGGGATAGGGGCGGGACGCTGATCTTCCTTCTAACGGTCAGGGGTTTACCACTGATCTTCTAACAGGGATAGGGGCGGGATGCTGACCTTCGATTCCATATAACGGACAGGGGTTTACGACTGATCTTCTAACAGGGATAGCGACGGGACGCTGATCTTCCTTACAACGAACATAGTTTGATCACTGATCGTCTTCTGATGTGCACGTGCGCGGGTACGGGACACGTGTCCACTAACTGGACACGGGTGTGATATCAATTAATCGGCAACTGACCTTTCGGTACTAAGGCATGGAAGGTTGAAATCCTCTTTTGACACGTGTAGCCTGCACACCAGCCGTGGTCCTGGGGGCCGTTGATGAGGTCGACATATTGGTTGCTGAGGACGGCGACAGGTGACAGCCGTCTCAACTCTGTGTCCTCATCCATGTTCTCAAGGACCAGCATCAAGTGCTCGATGTCGTGACATTCATAAGCATTCCATTTGTCATTGAAGGCACACTGTGCATTACGCACAATACCTACAAACACAAAACCATTGTAGTGAGGTGAGGTGAGGTGAAATTGGGTTTAACGGCGTGCTTGAGAATAACCAATATGTCGAGAATATTTCGCTCATATGACGACGTGCATGCGTGTGTATGTGTATGTGCGGCTGCTTGTACTAGCTGATTTTATAGTGCTAGTGTAGCGGCCGTAAAATTTCCAAGTCCCGTGCTGGGATTCGAACGAAGGACCTTCTGATCAGAAGTCGGACGCCTTGTCCACATGACCAAAGACGTTAACCCCGTCAGCAAGCAGACAAGGTAAGGATGTCATCTGTGGGATGACTCCACGCCCTGCTACATACACCCCCGTCAGCAGAAGGCATGTCCCGAGCCGCATAGTTGGGAACTGAGACTTATTTTGCTCAAATTTCATATGAACCTGCTCAGCCCCACGTTGGGCGCCAATGTAGCGGCCGTAAACTTTCCTAGTCCCGTGCTGGGATTCGAACGACGGACCTTCTGATCAAAAGTCGGACGTTTTATCCACATGACCAAAGAGGTTAACCCGGTCAACAAGCTGACAAGGTAAGGATGTCATCTGTGGGATGACTCCACGCCCTGCTACACTAGCCCACTGAGATACCATGCCGTAATGAAGCATGAATACCCCACTCAGACACAGTATACTGACTCCGAGCCCACCAGTCCTTGTTGTACCTTATTAATGCCGAGCGCCAGGCAGGGACCAACAAGTACCATATTTTAACGTCTTTTGGTATGACGCGGTCGGGGATCGAACCCGCGACCTTCCGCTCTCCGGGCGGACGCTCTAACCACTACACCACGGAGGCGGTTAAACCATTGTAGGGAGGGTGTGGCTGGTTTGTTTGTGGGTTTACGCCGCACTCAGCAATATTCCAGCTATATGGTGACGGTCTGTAAATAACCGTGAGTGAGGTTTACGCTGGAATGTGCAATATTCCAAAATGGCGGAGGTCTGTAAATAATCGAATTTGGACCAGACAACTGTAAATAACCGAGTCAATCTGGTGAACAACAACATGAGCATCGATTTATGCAATCATGATATGATGACATGTGTCAACCAAGTCAGCGAGGCTGACCACCCGATCCCTTTAGTCGCCTCTTACGACAAGCATGGGTTACTGAAGTCTGAATCGACCATGATAGGATTCTGATTTACACAAGGGACAAAACCCTGCGTGATATTGTCAATAAAGTTTGTCTTAAAAAATGGTATAATTGATTATATTGATTCTTTTGTGTATTTCGGATTGGAGTGTTTGAGATAGTTTGGTTTTACGCCGCACTCAGCAATATTCAGTTATATAGCGGCGGTCTGTAAATAATCGAGTCTGGACCAGACAGTCCAGTGATCAACATCATGAGCATCAATCTACGCAATTGGGATACGATGACGTGTCAACAAAATCAGCGAGCCTGACCACCCAATCCCGTAAGACGCCTTTTACTCGGGTCGGAGGTTCATAACCAAGTAGGTTATTTTAGAATGGTATTAATTATTATTATATCTGAGACCTGACTGTCCAAATCAGTGTTGCCTACCTTTGTTTGGAGCTATCGTAGACACATCGATTCTGTTGCCGGCCAGGTCTGTCAGCATCTGTTTTGGAATCCTGTAATCTCCCAGACCTCTTCGTCTGTCCCCGTCCCACTCCCATTCCGACCTGGAGAGGATGGAACCCGGAGAACCCAGCAGGGAGCCATCCAGGTCTCTGATCAGCAGCTTCTTCATGGCATCACAGTCCATGTCCACACAGTCAGATGGGTTGATCTTGCTGAAGAAGGTGGTTGAGTGAGTGAGTGCTTGTGTGAGTGAGTGGTTGTGTGAATGAGTGAGTGAGGGAGCAATATTACCCCGCACTCAGCAATATTCCAGCTATATTGCTGCAGTCTGTAAATAATCGAGTCTGGACCAGACAATCCAGTGATCAACAGCATAAGCATCGATCTACGCAACCGGGATACGATGACATGTGTCAACCAAGTCAGCGAGCCTGTCCACCCTGTCCCGTTAGTCGGCCCTTACGACAAGCATGGGTTACTGAAGATCAATTCTAACACGGATTTTCAGCAGCATTACATCAATATCACGGTGGGGGACACCAGAAAAGGGTTTCACACATTATACCCTTGTGGAAAAATCGAACCCGAACTGTACTGCGGCACCGAGCCAACGCTTTAACCACTAGGCTACCCCACCAAGAAGAGGTGAATAGGTAATTATATGAACCAACATACCCAACATTTGGATGATGATAGAAGACCCGGTTGTTTTTTAGGTGTAGAATAGAATGACAGCTTCTCCAGATTGACGGGGTGCTGGAGGTCGTCGTTGGCCTTGTTAGTCGTGATGGCGAAATTCTGACTCGTCTCACACGACGGACCAAAACGGGCGAACACGATATCTGAAAGAATATACCGAGATAACCAGTGTGAAAATGATGACGAGACGGCAAGTGGGTGAGTGAGTTTAGTTTGACGCCGTGAGTGAGTGTGGTTTTACGCCGCTTTTAGCAATATTCCAACAATATCACGGTGGGGGACACCAGAAATGGGCTTTACACCTTGTACCCATGTAGGGAATCGGTCTTTGGCGTGACGGTTTAACCACTAGGCTTCCCCATCGATTAGGAAGACGTTTAAAATCGTCAGTCAACAGGTATTCATTCCATAAGTACGGGAGGACTTGCATGAAGAGCGAACGCTTTAAGTACAAGGCAACCCCATCTCCCCTTTAGGCTTAGGTAGTTTGTTATGACTTCTTATCAATAGACGTTACTTTGCAAGGCTATACATTGCGATGTAATTCCTATATCAGCTATAAATGTACCTACCCTTTATAGTCATGATACCACTGATGGAGTTGTATGACATCACATTAGGTAAACCCATCTCCGGGGCCGCATTACCGCCGCCTGTAAACTGAGGGAACAGAAGACCGACCATTGATATTACACCATGGGCAAAGCTTCGTGCCTGGGAGCTGAACCTCCAGTTTTCGTCGCTTGAATCGATCTTGTGTACATTACAGTCGAAGGATGAGGTCTGGCCAACGAACATGGAGTCCGACACCTCAACAAATTTGTCTGAAGTCTGGTGACTTAGGGCACCTGGTCCCACCACCATTGGGAATATACCAATTCCGTTCTCAATGGACGTGATGAACCTTGCCTTCAGACTGGCTACCTGGTTGTAGTATATCCCGTAGTCATAATTCCTCCAAAGCAGAAAGTTTGCAAAGTATATACACGTTGTGCTTACGACATCTTCGTCGGTTATAAACATGGTAATGCCGATCATGCCTGAATGAACCTCGTTTCCGATCCATGTGGCTTCGCCCGAACACTCCTCGCCTCTGACTCTGATTCCGGATCGTTCCGAACCAGCAACGACGTTGTTCTGGAGGACGAGGCCGGATGCTTTCATGGCGTCAATACCTCCATCGAATCTGATATTGGCCGACTCTGCTCTGTCCTGATACGATCCAGGCCACAATGTCAAGGCGACAAGGTTTCTTAAGAGTTGTGTATTTACTGAATCAGATATGATACCTGAAATGAGAATGGGTCAAGGTTAACGGTCACTACTACACTATTCCAGCTACATGGCGGCCGTCTGTAAGTACTTGAATCTGAGACCAAAAAATGATTGATTGATTGTTTAACACCGCATTCAGCAATATTACAGCAAAATGGCGGCGGTCTGTCAATAATCGAGTCTAGACCAGAACGATCCAGTGATCAACATCATGAGCATCGATCTACGCAATTGGGATACGATGTCAGTGAGCCTGACCGTCCGATCCCGTTAGTCGTCTCTTTCGACAAGCATATGGTGCTGAAGGCCAATTCTAACTCGGATCTACACGAGTCCTGAAGTGATTGAGACTCAACAAGAATCCCCTATGTTTCTGATACACATAGGTTCACAACCAGGGCCAAATTGAATTCAATTCTCTCTCAAACTGGCAACGTGAACCCATAACAGGAGATTTGAGGTTGTATGATAATAGGTTCTCTATCTAAGCCTTGGTGTGTGTGTGTTGTTCAATGACTATATATATTTATTGCGCGCGTCTTGTGCGTGTGAGAGTGTATGTGTGTCTGTGTGTGTTTGTGGCTGTGTGCGTATGTCTGCATGTGTTCATTCAGTCGTGCGTGCGTCTATGTGTGTTCGTATGTGTTCGTGTGTTTGTGGCTGCGTGCGTGTGCCTGTATGTGTTCATGTGTGTGTCTGTATGTGTTTGTGTGTGCGTGCGTGTGTCTGTATGTGTCCGTGTGTGCGTGCGTGTCTGTATGTGTTCATGTGTGTGTCTGTATGTGTTTGTGTGTGCGTGCGTGTGTCTGTATGTGTGCGTGCGTGTGCCTGTATGTGTTCATGTGTGTGTCTGTATGTGTTTGTGTGTGCGTGCGTGTGTCTGTATATGTCCGTGTGTGCGTGCGTGTGCCTGTATGTGTTCATGTGTGTGTCTGTATGTGTTTGTGTGTGCGTGCGTGTGAATGTATGTGTTTGTGGCTGCGTGCGTGTGTCTGTATGTATTCGCGTGCTTGTGCGTGCGTGTGTGCATGATCGGTGGTTACCCAGCCCCGGGTACTTTATACTAAATAACGCATTCCTTACGCCCACCAGAAACCTACCCGATCCGACAACATGGTGTATGACGTTGTTGTCGATCTGAAGGTCCTTGACGCCGAAGACGCCGATGGCTGGGGAAAAGCCGTGGTGGAAGGAGCAGTGGGATACGTAGGAAACACGTTTGTCGTCGTTGCGGATGCCGATGAAGGAGAGGGAGAAGCGAGGGTCGTAGGAGCTGGTGTATCCCTCCTGACCCGTGAGGTAGAACTCGACATTCTTGACCTTGGCAACGCCTTGAAACAGGAAATATTAGTCGCTTGTCTGGCAATGCTATAAGTTTAGTTAGACTCTACTACTATCCTACAATCCACATTCTACAATCCACCTTCTACAACGTCCACTACCATAATTGATGCTACTGCTGCTATTATTACTGCTACTTTCTACTTTTACCACCACTGCCAATAAGCAAATAAACCTCAGGTACTTTTACCAGTACTAATATTCAGCATCTATCGCTTGCGACCCAGGTTACCGTCCACTTTAAGGGGGTTTTAATGAGGTCCATCGTCCGTTTAAGGGGTTTCAATGAAGACCATCGTCCGTTTAAGGGGTTTCAATGAAGACCATCGTCTGTTTAAGGGGTTTCAATGAGGACCATCCGTCCGCTTTAAGGGGTTTCAATGAGAACTATCGTCCGTTTAGGGGTTTTTTCTGACGACCAACCGTCCGCTTTAAAGGTGTTTCATAATCAGAATTTCGTCTGCTTCAAAATGGTTTCATATGAGGAGAATACCGATCGCTTTAAGGGGTTAACACTTAGCACAATAACGTCCGCTCTGATGGAATCCCACTAAATATAACACTGTCCGAATAACATACATAACATAACATACGATAACATACTCGGGTTGAGATGCATTTCAGTAGGGAAATAACTGACCATTTTAAGGAGTGAGTGAGTGTGTATGGTTTTACGCCGCTTTTAGCAATATTCCAGCAACATCACGACGGGGGACACCAGAAATGGGCTTCACACATTGTACCCATGTGGGTAATCGAACCCAGGTCTTATGCGTCACCACTAGGCTACCCCACCGCCACCCATCTTGAAGGAGATGTAAAAAAGGATCCGTTCAATTATTAGATTTGAACCAACCCACTGTGTTATTAACGTTCCGTTTACGTATAACAGCATACAAGTTAGTTAGCAGGCAGAAATCCGTCCGTTTAAGAGGGTTAAACTGAGGACCACCCGTCCGCTTTAAAGGTATTTCATAATGAGAATTTCGTGTGTTTTAAGAGGGTTTCATATGGGGAGAACATCTAACGCTTCAAGCGGTTAATACTAACAATAATATCCGCATTGAGGGAATTCCACTAAAGATAATACATCGATTTCAAAGATTTTGGTTTTAAGAGGATTTCAGTAAGGAAACACCTGTCCATTTCAAAGAGATGTCACGAAGGACGATAGGGTCCGTTCAAGGATATGATTTTCCCATAGGTCAACGTTGGCCGTATGTTATACTATGGGTGGGTTATCTGTCTAGATTTTATGAATGTGTGTATAACTATTGACACGCTAATATACAATTGTCTCTCTCTCTCATTATATTTTATCGCCCTCTTTGAGGTTTTGAACCAACCCACCGTGTTATTGACGTGCCGTTTACTTTGTCTAGTAAAACAGCGTAAACGTTAGTTAGCAGACACACAAAGCGGGCTCTTGTGACAAATGTTACGCTTTCTTATTAGATTCATTTCGGGATAGAACAATTCTGGGATTCGAACTCACATCAGAGTTGCGCACCAAGGGTCTAAGTTTTATCAATAATGACCCACGCCTACTGCAGAACCCATCTAGTGCTTTACTTACCACTGTATGATTCGGTCCCATTGGCCCTCGTGCTTGTCGCTACCATGATCCGAGCGCCGAAACTCTCCGTGTACAGGCCCGAGTAGGTCTCTCCGATGATCTTGATGTTCCTTGTCAAAAGTCCCACCTTGGCGGACGCGGTGTAGTTGTGTCCCGTCCCTAGGGTCTCCGACACCACTGGAGAGAGAAGTGAGTGAGTGAATACGAAGCGGTACGCTCTGGTGCATTTTGAGGTAATGAGTAAAGAGATTGCTCAAAGTCGCAAGGTTACAGACACAGCTTTTATCCCTGTCAAACTTTAATAGGAGTAATACTGGTATTAGAACACGTCACAATTTAATTCTGGACACCAAAAAGTCCAGAAACTCTCTGCACTGTGGCCACTTTCTGACAAGGGATTTGACAAAAGTAAACATGCAGCTGTCATGAATATATGATAAGGGTGAATAACTGAAAACATTTTTTTTCGAAAACTCAAAATTTAAACTTGCTCGCCCATGGGAGAATATTAAGTTTCGCCCAGAATTCATGTTTTAAAGGTTGTAAATGAATTAATTTTGACTTGGTTCGGCTAATTTAGAGCGATTTTACAAAACTCGCCCATGGGCGAAAAACATTTGGCCAATGGGCGAGAATATTAACTTTTGCTCAAAATACATGTTTTTCCATGTTTTGGAGTGAGTGACTGAGTTTGGTTTTGCGCCGCTTTTAGCAATATTCCAGCAATATCACGGCGGGGAACACCAGAAATGGGCTTCGCACATTGTACCCTTGTGGGGAATCGAAACAAGTGTCTTCGCCGTGACGAGCGAACGCTGTAACCACTAGGCTACCCCACCGCCCCCCATGATTTGGAGGTTGAAAATGAATGAAAATATGTTCATAAGTATCAGGACACAAACTATCTGGGATGCTAATCGGCACGTGACCCAGACATCTACTGCATACGTAACACCACGTCACTGGTGTAATACGTACATACCGTTACATATTATACTTCCTACATATTATTAAGTCAAAACATCCTACATAGTAAATTGAACAAACTTCATGGATACGTTCTTGTATTGCGTGAGTCCGACATTTCGATACAGATTCTTGTACCGTTGCTAAGCACGTCGTACGCACGTAATTAAAGAAGTGGTTTTCCATGAAGTTTGTTCAATATTGTTGGCCACAACTACTAAATGGCACTGAAAGAAGTTATCCGTTATAGTGTCATGTGTTCACATCATACATACTCCCATGGATATATACAGTGTACTAGAAATACAACCGTGAAGATCCGGGTTAGACTTGATCTTCAGTAACTCATGCTTGTCGTAAGAGGTGACTAACGGGATCGGGTGGTCAGGCTCGCTGACTTGGTTGACACATGTCATCGTATCCTAATAGCGTAGAACGATGTTCATGATGCTGATCAACGGATTGTCTGGTCCAGACTCGATTAGTTACGGACCGCTGCCATATAGCTGGAATATTGCTGAGTGTGGCGTTAAACAACAATCAAGTTGATCACTGGATTGTCTGGTCCAGACTCGATTATTAACAGACCGCTGCCATATAGCTGGAATATTGCTGAGGGCGGCGTTACACAACAATCAAGTTGATCACTGGATTGTCTGGTCTAGACTCGATTATTTACAGACCGCAGCCATATAGCTGTAACACTGCAGAGTGCGGCGTTAAACAACAATCAAGTTGATCACTGGATTGTCTTGTCTAGACTCGATTATTTACAGACCGCAGCCATATAGCTGTAACACTGCAGAGTGTGGCGTTAAACAAAACCAACCAACCAACACCTGCAGACTATACATACCGTCATGCGTGCACACCAAGGTAGTATTCAGCGTCAACCAACCAACCAACACATACCGACCACACATACCGTCATGCGTGTACACCAAGGTAGTATTCAGCGTCAACCAACCAACCAACACATACAGACTATACATACCGTCATGCGTGTACACCAAGGTAGTATTCAGCGTCAACCAACCAACCAACACATACAGACTATACATACCGTCATGCGTGTACACCAAGGTAGTATTCAGTCAACCAACCAACCAACACATACAGACTATACGTGTACACCAAAGGTGGCATTCATCAACCGTGTACAGACTATACATACCGTCATGCGTGTATTCAGGTAGTATTTCAGCGTCAACCAACCAACAACACATACAGACTATACATACCGTCATGCGTGTACACCAAGGTAGTATTCAGCGTCAACCAACCAACTCAACACATACAGACTATACACCGTCATGCGTGTACACCAAGGTAGTATTCAGCGTCAACCAACCAACCAACACATACAGACTATACATACCGTCATGCGTGTACACCAAGGTAGTATTCAGCGTCAACCAACCAACACATACAGACTATACATACCGTCATGCGTGTACACCAAGGTAGTATTCAGCGTCAACCAACCAACCAACACATACAGACTATACATACCGTCATGCGTGTACACCAAGGTAGTATTCAGCGTCAACCAACCAACCAACACATACAGACTATACATACCGTCATGCGTGTACACCAAGGTAGTATTCAGCGTCAACCAACCAACCAACACATACAGACTATACATACCGTCATGCGTGTACACCAAGGTCGTATTCAGCGTCAACCAACCAACCAACACATACAGACTATACATACCGTCATGCGTGTACACCAAGGTAGTATTCAGCGTCAACCAACCAACCAACACATACAGACTATACATACCGTCATGCGTGTACACCAAGGTCGTATTCAGCGTCAACCAACCAACCAACACATACAGACTATACATACCGTCATGCGTGTACACCAAGGTCGTATTCAGCGTCAACCAACCAACCAACACATACAGACTATACATACCGTCATGCGTGTACACCAAGGTCGTATTCAGCGTCAACCAACCAACCAACACATACAGACTATACATACCGTCATGCGTGTACACCAAGGTAGTATTCAGCGTCAAGGTCTTCTTGTCCGATGATACAGATGAGATCTTGAAGGTCTCCGTGTGCCACGCATTGTAAGACGTCGCCGTCAGAAGGATTTCATCTCCCACGCTCCACTCCACAGCCTCGTCCAGTGTTACCTGGTTACCTCCCTTTGCTGCCGTGGTTGCTAGGGACGCCCACGTCATACCCGTGCTCTTGCCATTCAAGTCCAGACCGCCGTAGACAGCTGCAGATGTGGATATATAGATGAACAGTCAATGGGAATTACAACGTGAACAGGCCCGCCATTTCCAGCATTACTGCATTCATGTTCAGAATATGAGGAATGGCCCCCGCAATCCATTGATTGAAATACAGACTAGTACACAATACATCACTTAGATTCTTCCATGTACACAATAGTTTCCAGAGTTTCTACCAACTGCACAATATATCCAGGCGTCTCTGACCATAGCAGGATACATTCCGAAGTCTCAAGCTACTACATAAAACATTCTTCAGTCTGTACCTACTACACGATACATCCATCAGTTTCTTCCATGTACACAATACATTCCCGAGTCTGTACCAACGACACAATATATCCAGGCGTCTCTGACCATAGCAGGATACATTCCGAAGTCCCAAGCTACTACATAAAACATTCTTGAGTCTGTACCTACTACACAATACATTCCCCAGTCTGTACCTAATACTTAATACATTCCCCAGTCTGTACCTACTACACAATACATTCTCCAATCTATACAAACGATACAATACATTCTACAGTCAGTGTCTACGACACTATACATTCCCCAGTCAGTATCTACGACACATTACATTCCCCAGTCTGTACCTACGACACAATACATACCCCAGTCTGTACCTACGACACAATACATTCCCCAGTCTGTACCTACGACACAATGCATTCCCCAGTCTGTACCTACGACACAATACATTCCCCAGTCTGTACCTACGACACAATACATTCCCCAGTCTGTACCTACGACACAATACATTCCCCAGTCTGTACCTACGACATAATGCATTCCCCAGTCTGTACCTACGACACAATACATTCCCCAGTCTGTACCTACGACATAATACACTCCCTAGTCTGTACCTACGATATAATACATTCCCTAGTCTGTACCTAACAAAATACATTCCTCAGTCTGTACCTACGACACAATACATTCTCAGCACCTACGACACAACACACTCCCCAGTCTGTACCTACGACACAATACTTTCCCCAGTCTGTACCTACGACACAATACACTTCCCCAGTCTCTACCTAAGACACAATATATCTCAGAGTTTCTGTCCATAACAGGATACATTCCGGAGTCTCAAGCTACTACATTACACATTCCACAGTTTCTACCTACTACACAATACATCCCTCAGTTTATTCCATGTACACAATAGTTTCCAGAGTTTCTACCTATTACACAATACATCACGGACTCTCTGTCCACAGCAGGATACATTCAAGCTGCTACACACTAACATAATTCTGCAATTTCTTTCTGTTACACAATAGCTTCTGGAGTCTCTGTCGACTGCACATTTAATTCCGGAGCCAAAGCCGACTTCAGAATACGAACCGGAATTTCTGCCTCCTTCACACTACGTTTTTGCCCAATACACAATCTCCACTACGTGCTAATTCCTGAGTCTCTACCTACAGCACCATACATACTGTTGGAAAGTCTCACCTATCCCCTTGGCGCCGGCTGGAGGGCCATCCTCCACGGGATAAGGCGGTGAGCTGTGGGACCCTGACAGGAAGATGTTAGCCTGACCCAGGAAGGGCTTATCTGGCCAGCCAATCACAAGCCGCCCGTACACGACAATCATCTTTGCTCGGAAGTTAAAGGTTTTCGTTGCGACGTTATCGAATTCAAGCGCGCCGATGATAACCACAGTACCTAGGGTAGGGATGCTCTCCTCATCCGCAACGATCCAGTAATCTTGAAGAAAAGATTCACTGTTTAGATGAGCCAACGACATTGAAACATTTACCACGACGTTAGCTTTAAAATGCACAAATATGTCTTTTACACAATTTTAGAAAATGGAAGAAGGGTTTCATGTTCCTGCAACATCGGTTGATGTGGAGTGAGTGAGTGGGTTTAGTTTCATGCCGCCTTTAGCCATATTCCAGCAATATCACTGCGAGGAACACTAGGAATGGGCTTCGTACATTGTACCCATATGGGGAATCGAACCGGTCTTTGGCGTGACGGGTGAACGCTTCAACCACTAAGGCTGCACCACCACCTCTATTGATGTGGATGAGAGACCCATGATAGTCGTGTCACCAGCTCCTCTTTATCCCTAATCAACGCGTTAGAATTGATCTTCAGCAACCCTTGTTTGACGTAGAGGCGACTAACGGGATCGGGTGGTCAGGTTCGCTGACTTGGTTGACAAATGTCATCTTATCCCAATTGCGTAGATCGATGCTCATGCTGTTGATCACTGGATTGTCAGGTCCAGACTCGATTATTTACAGACCGCCGTCGTTAAAGAACACACAAACAAACATGATCAAGGTATCGATCACTGGATTGTCTGGTCCAGACTCGATTACTTACAAACCGTCGTCATATGACAGACCATTTACAGAGTGTGGCGTTAAACAACAAAGAAATAATAATACAGGATAATACCGGTTTCCTGTTGCTAGGCAACTGCACACCAGCATGAATACCACCACACTCAGACACAGCAGGAAGACACATCTTTGACCTGTCCTACCGATTTATAAAAATGCACGTATGTTTCCGAAAATGCTGTCATATATATAAAATATAATTTAGTTTTACAAATACAATGAGTGAAGGGGGTAAAATGTTCAGGTCCCTTTTTGTGTTTTAACAGTGTTTTAGTGAAGGCAATCGAAACAACAATCATTCTGTTGTCTTTTTTCCGAATGTCGATTTTTTCTGGTTACAGCGATTATATATTCGTAACTTCGATTAGCTTTTCGTTATTTCAAGTTCCGTTATTTTCTAGTTTTGCAAAGTTTCTTTCCAAAAATAACAATTTCGTATATTTTCTTGGATTATTTTCTCGTAATTTCGAATATTTCATACCTGCCAGGTGGTGAGGTAGCCTAGTTGCTAAAGCGTTAGCTCGTTACGCCAAAGAACCAGATGCGATTCCCCACAAGGATACAATGTATAAACCCCGTGGTAATGCTTGAATAATGCTCAAAGCGGCGTAAAACCACAGTCATTCATTCGTAATTGCCTACTTTGCGGAATGGTGACATCTTCATTCGCTTTCGGTTTCTGCTTGTCCTGGAAGTCCCATGTGTTGAGGTCGGAATACAGGAGAGCGTTGTCGGGTCGTTTGCTTAACTCCTTAAAGTCCGGCGGAGGGATGCAGTTCTTGTACAAACACTTAAACGCCTTCATTTTCAAGTTCCGGTCCTCGCTGTTCACTGTGGTTTTTGTCTTCTGGGATACTGAAATGAATTGAGCCTGATTTAAAGAATCTCCTTTCACATGTCCAGGGGGTCGTCCATAATACAACCATAGAGCTACAACAGGGGTATGGGAGTTACTGCCACCGTAGCGCTACGACTGTCGTACGTCAATGTTAAGGTATACCACCGTAGCGCTACGACTGTCGTACGGAGTTAAGGTATAGTTACTACCGTAGCGCTACGACTGTCGTACGTCAATGTTAAGGGTATGGTAGTTACGATCACCGTAGCGCTGCATCAGTCTAATGCCTATGCTAAGGCAAGGTATGGGAGGAGCAACAGTTGCAAGCCTATGTTAAGATATGGGAGTTACGACCACCGTAGCGCTACGACTGTCGTACGTCTATGTTATGGTGGGGCGATGGGGTAGCCTAGTGGTTAAAGCGTTCGCTCGTCACGCCGATGGTCCAGGTTCGAATCCCCACATGGGTACAATATGTGAAGCCCCTTTCCGGTGTCCCCCGCCGTGATATTGCTGGAATATTGCTAAAAGCGGCGTAAAACCATACTCACTCACTATGTTATGGTATGGGGATTACGATCACCGCAGCACTGCGACTGTCGTAATTCTATGTTCAGGATTGGCAGTTATTATCAACGAAGCGCTATCATACGTTTGAGGTATGGCAGTTAGCACTAACGACTGAAGAAGCTACGGCTGCTTTGTAAAACGGCACCTATAACTATAGAATAAATAACTTTGTCTGTGAACGTGCTTCTCGCACACCTGGCTGTCCCTTGCTCTGCACTCCTCCCTCGTAACAAACAGTGAACTGTGTCAATATTTTAATGATAGTTTGTTAAACAACTTTATTATTTTTAGGACAAATATTCTGCAAAACCCTCACAGAGTGGGTATGATGTTTTGATTATGATCAGCGTTTCATTGAGTATGTTATGTTTATTAGTTTTCGAGTTAGATTGCAATTCATCAGTGTCCGCTTTTGGGCCAAACGGACTATAGTGGAAACGTTATTTTGTTTGGTGCCTATGTACACAGGGATGTTCGTGCTGACTGATCGTAACTGAAGTTATATTTTTGTATTCAGTAATACCCATACGACCATCGTACTTATATTACAAGGAAGGAAATTGTGCTCTTAGTCAAGAGGCTTTCAATACTGAATAAATTTCCTCATCTGCTTCAAAGAGACAGAAATAATCCTAGCTACCGTTACATTTTCCGTCAATTCTATTTATTTTTAATCTATTTTGACATCATACAAAAGATCAGTGCAGCTGACCTAGGTAGCAGAGTTGGCTCTCGCTCTCCTTGTAATACCAGGCCCCGTTGACGTCGGTGTTGACGTTCAAACCACCAACGGTTTCGTTGATGGGGGAGTCGGCGATGGAGAAACGATCAGGACGTTCGACCCGCTGGCAAAATGTCATGTGGTTGTTGGTCTGTTGGAAATAAATATTGATAGCAAATACATAAAAACATAAATGTCTATAAAATGTCGAAGGTGTGTTTTCATAAATTCTGTTAAATTTTAGCTCATTTGATGCTGGAAAAAGCATGACTTGACATAAATCTGTTTCACCGATTAGGTGCCTGATCATGACTCTGAGGGTGTGTGTTCGAATCCCGCGTGGGATATCCCTCAACCCAAGAAAAGTACTAGAAATTGTAATCCAAAATACAACATATGCTACATTTGACCACTTTCTAAATGGCGTCGTGTAATAAAAGCTTTCGGCCGTGGGAGACGTGCCAAATAACACCTCTCAGAGGGGTACACAAAGTCCGCAGTCTAGACTACCAGTTGTGCGACCTTCATTTTTGTGGAAATCGCGGTGGCTGATCAGGTTAGGCGGCTGACTTTGCGTGCTGGCGATTAGGTGCCTGACTCTGATGGTGTGGGTTCGAATCCCGCATGGGGCTCAACCCAACAAAAGTACTAGAATCTGTACTTTACTGAGAAAGTGTAATGCCAAACATAAATATGTATACTGTTTCACCGCCATATAGCTGGAATATTGCTGAGTGGGGCGTAAAACTGAACTCACACACTCACTACTGTGTCACTTCACACGAAAATAGGAAGGAAAGGTTTATAGAAATACATACCAAAAATCTGTAAACTGTGGCATCGTAGCTTATATTGGTGACATGTTCTGCATTCTCAAAGGTCAAGTTATAGGTATCTCCATCGACAAGAAGAGCCATCCAGCCAGGCTTGTGAGTCACCCTCTTGTGTGCAAACTCCGAAAACACGCTGTTCCCCGCGGCGTTTGTGAACTGAAGTTTCTTGCCCTCGAGACTGGATGGTTTTGGGTTTTTCATGGCGAAGCGATGGTAATTTACGCCAGGGTTACACTTTTTAGCAGCGACCCCGTAGCTACAGCTTGGTTCGTCCGTACACTCTGAAGAAGGTAAAATGTCCACGGCGGGCAGGACAGACGCCCCGGCTGTGCCCAGTAAACTGCCGTCAAGGTCTATCATGGCGGCTTCATGTTCCCAGGCAAACTTGAACTTCCGGTCGGCATTTGTAAATGTGAGACCTGTGCTTTTGTATATGAAACCACCGCAAAGATGGCTGCATATTCCATCCGAAGTGGACACGCGCATTCCGGTCAAATGGCTTTGGTCGTAATTCTCGAAGCTCAGGTTTTTCAAGAGCAGACCGTTTCCCCATGGTAGGGACAATCCAAAGGATGGGTTCGTGATGGCGGGGGTTAAATCTGGGTGACGACCTGCTATTAGTGAATCCCTGATCATTGGTCCAGTTTCATCATACTGGTTGACGTTCTTTAGAGACTTTATTTCAATTCCAACCTCATTATTGAAGACCTTGAATCCCTTGACTTGGATGTTGCCTGTATTTACAAATTCAGCTCCCTTGTGGTTATTGTATGCTAACAGGTTCTCGAATACAGCCACTGCAAAACAATACAACCTTTTTCAAAATCAATCATAGAAGTAAATCTAGTTCAGTGTCACCGCACTCTTTCAGCTACATTCAACCTATATTACAGTCTGTAAATAGTCTCGACCGGGCAATCCAGTGATCAACAACACGAGCATCGATCTACGCAATTGGGATACGATGACATGTGTCTACCAAGTCAGCGATCATGACGATCCGATCGCGTTAGTCGCCTCTTACGACAAGCATGGGTTACTGAAGATCAATTCTTACCAGGATCTTCACGGATTAAATCGTAGTAAGATGGCTAAGGCTTTATGAAAGGTGCCCAGAAGATACAAGCAGGGTGAGAAGAAAATTTCCTACACTAAAGACCCTGAAATACAATAGAAGAAGACCTTTAACAAATGCAAAGAACTAATAAACCATTTTTACCAACCTGTGTCTGAAAAATTAGTTCAATTATATCATAGCGTGTCAGCTTAATGTGGGTGAGTGAGTGAGTTTGGTTTTACTCCGCTTTTATCAATATTCCAGCAATATCACGGCGGGGGACACCAGAAATGGGTTTTACACATTGTACCCGTGTGGGGAATCGACTTCGGGTCTTCGGCGGGACGAGCGAACGCTGTAACCACTAGGCTACCCCACCGCCCCTATTAATGTGGAAAGAAACCCCGAACTAATGCAGGGCATTGAGGATGGCACTTTGGTAAGATACATTGACACATAACAACGCGGATCATAACCTACTCTCCGGAACTGTTGTCTCGCCGTGAGAGCCACCATTTGATGTCTGGGGAAGGGTTGTCTTGGATTTTGTATGGATTAGACATTATTTTAAACAAAACTTAGCAAAAGTTATATTTCTGTAGCAGGCAATTTCTTTGTTGTTTACAACAGTCTAAAGCATAATAGGTTTCAAAAGAGTTTTCTGGAAAAATTCTTTCGAAACATTTTAGGTTGATTTTAACATTTCTTGTCGAAAGCAACGCATTCTCTTGAACAATGAACGAAAGGTGGCTATTAACTATTTTGCGTAATATTTCGAGACTCTCATCACGTCAACAGGTGGGTATATCGCAAAAAAGCCTTGAAAAAATTTGAAATATTTTCAAGAGCGGATATAAACCTAATTCACTCACTCATCTCACGAATTTAGGATACTCACGTTCTATTGGAAAGTAGTCTTGAAAGACCCAAAGAGCGAACCACCCATTAGAATGACCAGTGTTGTTACTGAAGATGCCGAGAGGAACCTCTTTGCATCTCACTTCAGTCGTCTTGGATGGACCGCCAGGATGAGTATGCATCCGGTACCAAAACCCAAAGTGGGTACCCCCTGCGGCGGCATTGTGGCTGATTGTGTTGTTTGGATTGGTCACCCAGAACGCGGCTGGCGTGATGTCATCGTTCAAAAGACTACTGCTTGCGCGCACGAACAGAGCAAGATTCCATCTGAAGAAGTTGCCAGTCTCTATGCCGTCTTCCAAGAACAGTGAACCGCCCTTGACGTCGTGTACAACGTTGTGTTCGACGTACGTATTGTGGCTTCCGTGGACGTTGACGGCCCTGTTGTTGGATTTGTGTATGGAGCTGAATCTGACATACGACTTAGACATATCCCCGTTCAGATGGAAGTGGATAGCGTACCTCCCAAGTCTGAAGGCTTGTCCGGCGTTTGTGACTTCGGTGTAGCTGATACGGGCAATGGCGATGTTTGTGTCCCGTTCTGGAGCGTGGATCATAATTTGTGATCCAAACTCATCACTTCCCAACTCATGACCAAATCGGCCTTGGAAACAGGTTTGCGTGGCGAACTCACCTGAAATGGACATTCAGTCAATAATATTATGTGATACAAGAAATGAAGATGTTATTGAAAATACAATAGTTGGAAAATTCAGAAGCAAATGGGGAAAAACATACAATGTATACAATGAAAGGTCCAGAGGAAATTTCTGTTATATTTGGATATAAATTACTATAATTTTGAATACCTGTACAAGACGCACGATTGAGTTGCATGGAACAGACATTTCTACAACGATTTGTAATGACTGAGTGAGTTTAGTTAGCAATATTGCAGCTATATGGCGGCGGTCTGTAAATACATTGATCAACAGCATGAGATTCGAAACTACGAATATATAACGAAGTAGAATTGATTATCACTTTGAGTTCGTAATATTGGTTGGTTGGTTGGTTTGTTGTTTAACGCCGCACTCGGCAATAGTCCAGCTATTTGACGGCGGTCTGTAAGTAATCGAATTTGTCCCATGTGTCAAAGAGTGAGTGAGTGAATTTAGTTTTATGCCGCACTCAGCAATATTACAGCTATATGGCGGCGGTCTGTAAATAATCGAGTCAGGATCAGACAATCCAGTGATCAACAGCATGAGCATCGATCGACGCAACTGGGATACGATGACATGTGTACTCAAGTCAGCGAGCCTGACCACCTGATGGGCAGCTGAAGACCAATTCTAACCCGGATCTTCAGAGGCCTAAAATGCCCTTGTATTCAGGTTGTGCTTAATTCAGGTAGTGCTCGTGTTTATATACCATTGGCGACACATGATGGGTTATTCCCATCAATGTTTAGCATAGGACAAGTTAGCGCGCAGACCACCCGATCCCGTTAGTCGCCTCTTACCACAAGCATGGGATTTTAACTCGGATCTTTAGGAAGGCGCAGGGCTGTACCCCAGCTTCCACGAAAATGCATGACGGACAACTGGTAGTCTAGTGTACCTGCATCTTACAAGTGTAAATTGCCATGGTTTCAATGGCCGAAGGTATGAATACACAGTGCCTGTTAAAATGTGGTCAGCTGCAACATATGTTATATTTAGGATTACACTTTCTCAGTAAAGTACAGATTCTAGCGGTTGTGGGGTGGCCTAGTGGTTAAAGCGTTCGTCACGCCGAAGACCCGGGTTCGAATCCCCACATGGGTACAATGTGTAAGGCCTATTTCCGTTGTCCCCCGTCGTGATATCGCTAAAAGCGGCGTAAAACAGTACTCACTCACTCACAGATTGTAGCATTCCTTTTCGGCTTAGTCCCATTGGAGACTTTCGATTAGGTCACTCAATATGAGAGGGTGAGGATTTGAATCCCTAATATGAGTCGACCCGAGAACTAGAATCTGTAATCCCATTATACATAAACCTGAAGGGTGCTTCTCACTATATATTAAGCATCTCTTCTTTTCCCGGAATAACCGCATTTGAGGTTTTTGTTTGCTCTCAGGCTTTACTTTTTGTAAGTAAGACCTCTTGGGGTTGAATTATTTATTTATAGTTACTCTCACTAAATTGATTTTACTTGCGCTTCAGTTATTGTTATGTAGTTTCATTAAATGATCATCTACATTATAATTATCCATCATTGACGGTTTATTTGTTATGGGAAACACTTCCCCTCGGTTTCGGTAGAGAATATACAATCTTGGGAGGAGGGAAATCCCTCGGGGCTAAAGCCCTCCTCCCTCGGTTTTACATTCTCTTCCAAAACCTAGGGGGCGTGTTTTCTCCCATACCTAACACATGTTGCAATGTTCTCGTTACTTACCAGTGTCAAATCCGGCGGGGCAGGGTTCGATCGAGTCCTGCCACTGGGTGTTGGTTGACCCCCTCACAACAACGTTATGGGTCAACAGTCCAACCTCGGCTCTTGTGTCAACGGACATACCGCTGAAGGTCAATGTTACACCCAAATGACCATACGTCAAAGCCGTATCCAAGGTCAAGGTCATGTTGTCTGAAGAAATGGCCGTGATCGATCTGACCTCTGTCTCCTCCTGGCTGTGCCTACCACCCGTGGTTGCTATGGCGATGGAGTCCCCAACTAACCAGTTTACTGGCTTCTCGACTGTAATGGTAGTGGCCCCAGCTGCGGCGGTGGAGGCGAGACGCGTCCATGTCGCCCCTACATTCTTTCCTGAAACAATACAAAAGAGTTGAAATGGACATCAATAAATCCTTGAGCTATTTATGCTAGGGGTAAAAACGGTGCGCTCTAACCACGGTGCAGTACGTATTGCGGTACAAGGGCTTCGGTCCGGTCCGTTTCGGTTCAGTATTTGAGAACTTACTTCCGGGAAGACATCGGCTGTCTAGCAAAGAAATGCATAGATTTTGACAAATGATTCGATTTCTAGACATTTTAGAAAAAAAAATTGAAATAGGATAAAAAATGACGCTACGAAAACGGAAAATATCGTATATTTGGAATGCATTACGGTATACCGAACCGAAGGCAAATTACCGCGGTGCTACTAATACCGCGGTATACCGTTTCAAATCTTCTTTATGCCGTATTTGACGTATTAATCCCCCCTCCTTTCACTCCCAACCCCCTGTAAGTCCCACCGCAATTATGGAATAGTCAACTGTCCATTTACTCTTTTTTGTGTGATATTAAACCTCTTCCTAATCAGCACCCCCTTTCCAGGTGTATTCCTGATAAACGCCCCTTTTTAGATTATATCTAGTTCCGGCGTTAGGGTAGCCTAGTGGTTAAAGTGTTCACTCGTCACGCCGAAGATCCAGGTTCGTTTCCCCACACGGGTACAATGTGTGGAGCCAAGTTCTTGTGTTCTGTTGCTAAAGACGACCTAAACTCACTCACTCCTTTTATCAGCTGAGCGCATCGGCGAAGGTGGTATTGCATATCAATGAGTTGGAAGACATGACATATTTGTACATGAATTATGACACGGTCAATAAAAGGCAAAGAACTGATTGGCTTAAAACTCAAGACGTTCACTTGGTTCGCGTCATGTGATTGTTTGAGTGTCAGCTGAGTTGAAATAAGGAAGCAAAATCCTGCAATTATTGATATTTTTGTAGAGAACGTCGCTCGGTACCGTGAAAATTATAGGTGAATGATGGAGTCGAACAGTCGACCAGAAGATCCTACCTCATATAAGGAACATACCGCAAATAACAGATGCGAATGTCTGTTTAAACCACTGGGTTTTCTCTCTTAGTCATGCCGACCGCCTCCGTGGTGTAGTGGTTAGAGCGTCCGCCCGGAGAGCGGAAGGTCGCGGGTTCGATCCCCGACAGCGTCATACCAACAGACGTTAAAATATGGTACCTGTTGGTCCCTGCCTGGCGCTCGGCATTAATGGGTACAACAAGGACTGGTCGGCTCGGCGTCAGTATAATGTGTCTGAGTGAGGTATGCATGCTTCACTGCGGCATGGTATCTCAGTGGGCTAGCACTATAAAACCAGCTTCAGTCTGGGCTAGTACAAGCAGCCACACATACACATACACACGCATGCACGTCGTCATATGAGCGTAATATTCTCAAGCACGACGTTAAACCAATTTTCACCTCACCTCACCTCTTAGTCATGCCACGCGTTTGGTATTTCGTGCAATGTATTATAAGATTATCTATTAGAGCTTTTGAAGTTGAGAAGAGAGACGTTTTGTAAAGAGGTAAACAAACCATGTAAGTCCAATGTTCCGTTCCTCACAGCGAGGACCTTTGCTCCGTATATGGGAAGTTCAGGAGCCCGTAGACTCCCATGCAGAGTGATGATTCCTTTACTCTGGAAAGGGGCGTCTTCCGTACCAACCTACAACGGCAACATGGACATGCACTACTTCTGAATACACGGATACACAGAGTAGTGCAAGGTCGTACACTCCTCCCCAAGTTGTTGATACCCTTTTTTCTTTATTGCTTTTTATCGAAGAATACTTATCTTGGAAAAACAATATTTTGCTTCAGAGAGTTGAAAAAACAGATATTGTCGGGCACAACAAATTCTATTTGGACAATTATCTTAGATGATGAATCAGGCCATTCTAACACACGCACACCAATCGCCAGATTCTCAAATGGTCAGCCCTTGAAACGGATTGGAATTTTGTAGTTCTGTGTAATTACATAGTAGCAAGGGTGTTGTTCTCAAAAACATATTCAGGCGCATAGCTTAATTAAAAAATAATAATATTTCTTTTGCAAACAGTTGGTAGAAAATATATATTAATCTGCCCGTCTCTCTGCTTTTTTCGTTTTAAACCGTTTTAAACATGCCAAGGGGCATAGTGTTGTTTCCTTTCTCAAATTCATTGAACCATTTTTTTGTCACACACAATTGTCAAGCCATAGATTACATTTCACAAATTGCGGCAGGACTCAGCGGTTGTTAAATAGACACAGTAAAGTTGTTTAAATGTTCAGTTACATAAAAATTACAAACTCATTATAGCTTCTATCGCCACCCAGTGTACCTGATCCAGGTGACAATTAGTCTTCAGCATCCCCTGCTTGTCGTAAGTGACGACTAACGGAATTGTAAGTGACGACTAACGGGATCGTAAGTGACGACTAACGGGATCGGGTGGTCAGGTTCCCTGACTTGGTTGACACTTGTATACCAACTGCGTAGATCGAAGGTCATGTTGTTGATCACTTGATTGTCTGGTGCCGATTTTTTACAGACCGCCGCCAAAAAGCTGGAATATTGCTTAGCGCGGCTTTAAACAACGAACAACCAACCTACTACATACATAAAACCAATGAGATTATCTGAGAATTACAAATCTGTATCTGACCTGAAGCTTTCCCCCATCCACGATAAGGATGCTTTCAGCTCGCAGCTCGATGTCTTTCTCATCGAAGATCAGCTCACCACCTGCATAAAAAATAACAACGGTTCAATCAGTACCATTCTTGGCTGTAGTGTGTGAAGGCGTACTGTTTTACGCCGCACTGATAAACCAGTGATTAAAGGAATGAGCATCGATCGACGCCTTCGGGTCACCGAGCCGGACCAATGGCTGCCTTTCTCAGTCGGCTCATAGTACCAGCTTAGGTTACCATAGTAACAGTGCCAGTTGGAAAAAGTGTATGAGTGAGTCGATTGTAACAGGAACCCAGCAATATCGTGCGGGAAGGACACGGGGAAGTGGGGTGCACGTTTTGAACCCACATTGAGAATCAAACACGGTTCAAACGGGATCGGGTGGTCAGGCTCGCTGACTTGGTTCACGTATGTCATCAGTTCCCAATTGCGCAGATCGATGCTCATGCTGTTGATCCCTGGAGTTTCTGGTCCAGACTCGATTATTTACAGACCGCGGTCATATAGCTGGAATATTGCTGAGTGCGGTGTAAAACTAAACTCACTCACTCACTCACTTTGGCGTTACTATCGACCGCTATTCTATTGTCCTACATATAAACAGGATATTAAATTTATTTGTTCGTTTTTTTGTGATGGTGATGATAATTATGATGACTAAAATCAAAACATATTTTTGAATGATGATAGACTGACTGACTGAGTGAGTTTGGTTTGGTTATATCATCAATGATATATAATTATACAGCGAGAGTATATTTTGGATTCCTTATCGTAACATCTGTAATAAGGTAAGATAAGATAAAATAAGATGAGATACAATTTGAGTTACATCCTATTGAGTGAGTGAGTGACTGAGCATGGTTTTACGCCGCTTTTAGCAATATTCCAGCAATATCACGGCGGGGGACACCAGAAATGGGCTTCACATATTGTACCCATGTGGGGATTCGAACCCGGGTCTTCGGCGTGACGAGCCAACGCTTTAACCATTAGGCTACCCCACCGCTCCTAATGATGATAGATACTTTAAGAATGTGTTCAGGTATTTTGTTCCCGTACCTTGGATAAGCAGCATCTTGAGGACGGGCGTGTCTGTGTCCAGTAGAAGAATCTGACCCTTGGGCACGACGACCAACTCCCCAACTCCTGGGGGATCATTCCCTCCCCACGTGGCTTTGGCCGACCACACATCTATGTACTCGAAGGCGGCGTCGGTCTGTCGAAGTGGGACAATAACTTGAGATTAGCATTACTTAATACAAACATCACTCTGATATAGCTTGAATATTGCTGAATGCGGCGTAAAACCTTACCCATTCGATTGCATAAAGTGAATGAGAGAACATGAGCAGTGGATCACAAGCATTACAGGGGACAGACATAACATAGAAATCGCCAGCTAATACGAGATAATTACTATGTAAAGTTAAGTAAGTTCCGTTTGGATCAGTGTTAAAGGGAATGCCAATGGGAGATGAGACATGACTTGTTGCCAAGGAAGGAAGCTGTGTATTGTCACCTGAAACTTGTATATCTTTGTCCCATGTGTCAAAGAGTGAGTGAGTGAGTTTAGTTTTATGCCGCATTCAGCAATATTACAGTTACATGACGGCAGTCTGTAAATAATCGAGTCTGGACCAGACAAGCCAGTGATCAACAGCATGAGCATCGATCTGCGCAATTGGGAACCGATGACATGTGTCAACCAAGTCAGCGAGTCTGACCATGCGATCGCCTTAGTCGCCTATTACGACAAGCATGGGTTACTGAAGATCAATATTCTAACCCGGATGTTCACGGGTCCATGTGACAAAGATAAAATAATGGAAGAAACGAGAACCCCGCCACGCCCAAATTACAGGGCGTTTTTTTTTACATAAAATTAACAACTTGATCCCCCATAAGTAGTGTTATCGTGCTAAAATTAAGCAAATATATATAAAATATAATTGATTAATTTAGCTTTATTGTAAATATTTGGTTTGCGATCGTATAGATATAATATTAAATTCTTTTGGGTACAAACATATGCTCTCTCAATACATTTGGTTTATTATAAGCAGTGATCGCTTTAGGCAAACATGTCACTGCACAGAAAATCTATGCCTGCACTGCGGTGCAATAAAATGTGTAAAAGTCAATGGGACTATTGTGCACAGGTAACTCTTCCTCCGGTCATAGCTGTCAATACGATGGACATAGGCAGTTAAAACAAAGATGGTTTTATGCTTGACATGCGAGCTGGTCATCTTGAATGGAAACCGTGTGCGTGGCACGAGATGACAAATCACTGTGTTCCGGGTTAAGGGGTATATATGGAGGGCAGGTGTAGGTCCTAACCATCACTTGCACTCCAGAAATAAACGGATCACGTCACAATTCTGTGCTCACGGTTTCCTTCTCTCTTCAAAGATAAGCAGCTCAGTAATTCTTATTGATGTATACATGTTGTTTTGTTATATGCAATACTGGTGTATTATTGTAATTAGTGATTTTATTATAATGTTACATAAGCGTTACTTTGACCTATGTGTACAAGGTGTATTCCCAGACTTGTATGCAATGCTTAGGTCAATTACGTTAAACTATATTGCAAACTGCAATATAGAATTTCTATGACAAATAGTATTTCATAAAAGTAATCATTGTATCGCCCTTTGCGACTTGTATGTTAAGACATGACGTTGTCTCCCTTCATTACAAGCGACGCATCTAAATGATTACCACCCTTCACGATAAATGTAATGTGTCAGATTTGTAGAGTTCATATTGTAATGTATATTGTGTAATGTGTTGTTTGATTTAATTATCAAGTCATTAATGGACAATGTTAAACTATAGGCTAGGTGCAGCGTATCACGCAAACTACCTTTACATATGTGAACCTGGAGTTAATTGAGATATTTCGTGGATCATTGCTTTAGTAGCCTCCGGCCACACTCTCGTACTCTCTATCCACCAGGAGCCCCTTTTGTCTACATTGTGTATCATTAACCTGTACTCATGTATAATTGTCTTTAGGTCACATGTGTTTCATTGTATGAGTTTATTGTGAATAAGAAAACATGTGACACCATACTTACTGTAAAAAAGGTTGTTAAGCCATTACCGCAATAATTCTAAAATATGGAATGTTTAATATTACTTACTGTTTTGAATATCTTCGAATTATCAAACTTCCGTTTCATTTATTTTATATATTGCACGGTATATGAATTCTTATAAATATTATGTTATTATACAATCTTGTGGATTGTTCTGTAACATCAATCACTTGCACTCCAGAAATAAACGGATCACGTCACAATTCTGTGCTCACGGTTTCCTTCTCTATTCAAGGTTCCCCAACAACACAATTCCCCATCTTAAAGTGAGGTCTCTACTTCTCAACAAAGAAGAGGCCTCACAAAATTATCAACTAGACGAAGTCGTGTATTAAGACCAGTAACCTCACGATTTCAATTGGAGGAGAAATTATCAAGATCACCGGCCTCTCACCAAGGAGTATCCCCATCAACTACGAATTGAAAAACCGTACTGTGGAGACTACCAGCCAGACAAGATACAAGGTCTACAGGCACAACTGACGTCCGACAAGAGGAGATTCAGACTCACCAAGTGGCACAGGAACATCTGCGCAAGTGAACCAATCAGAATCAAGACCTGTCCAACAATTCTTCTGTGATGGCTGATGTCCCCCTGGAAAAGTTCTCAGGCTCTCCAGACCATAATGTTACTTCATGGGTAAAGAAGTTCAGGAACTTTGTCCAGTTGAAAAAAACAACTTGACAGTGAAGGACAACAACTTGCTCTGCCTTTTTATCTGGGAGAGGATGCCAGTGGATGGTGTGACAGTCTTTCAGGGGAAATAACAAGGTACTGTTACATTTACAACCAGTTAACAGACATTACCAAGAGATTTATGCCCAGCAAGAAAGACATGAGTATGCTGACAATGTCACAAAATCAACATGAATCAGCAAGGGACTTTGTACCGAGGATAGAAATGGCCGGATGCAAAGATCTACCTGAAAACATCCTTGTGGCTGTTGCTATAAAGGGACTTAACTCCGCCATACGTGTTTGGGTTGAGAACAAAGAACCCAAGACACTGGAAGAAGTAAGGCATGCAGCAGATATTGCAGAAAAGGCAAACCAAGAGCACAGCAGTCCATGCCCTGAGGCCTGAGGGATAATGAGATTGCCAAGCTCTCTGAAGCAATCAAGCAATTAATCTGTCTGCAGACAACCCGACACAGTTCCCAGGACACAGCTAATCCCCAACAGCCACCTCAAAAGACACATAGACGACGGCAGTATGATGGGTGGAGGCAACAACAGCAACAGCAACAGCAGCAGCAACAGGAATTGGTTCCCAAACCAAACTGTACACGTTGTGGTGGGTGGTGTCCAAGTACTCATGTCTGTAAATATAGAAACTTACATGCGCTATCTGTAGAATACCAGGCCATACTGAAGTAGTTTGCAGGAATAAACTTGCTAGGATAAGGCGCCTGGCTCCAAACAGGGAACCAGGCACCCAAGAACAAAACCTTCAGATAACGTTCCAAAATCCTCAAGTAGATGTTTGTTAACTCAAACTTCAGAAAGAAATTTTATCAAAGTTCCCAAGATGATCAAAGTTCCCAAAGAAACCCCTGAACCTTCTATTTCACTAATTGAGCCTTTGGATATCAATACCATTAGGGTCTCCTTAAACAATGTCAAAACCAATGCCTTAGTAGACACAGGTGCAGCCATTTCTTGTGTTACACTCAGCTATCTCACAAAAGCAGGTTACTCAGAAAAGATTTGCTACCCTCTTGTTACAATGGGATAACAGGTGTAGGTGGTGAGACTCCATCCAGTGCTAGGTAGCATAACACTTTCCATTTCTATTAACCATCTTCAATTTGAACACCAATTTCATGTTTTCTCTAAACTGCACAACACACTAATATTAGGAATAGATTTTCTCCGTAAAACATAGAGTTCAAATAGATCTCTTCCATTCAACAGTGCACTTCTGTGAAAATTTGTTCAGTGTACCACTAGTTCACAAAAACACAGGCACAGTTAGGGCTCAAAAACAATGCACTATTCCTCCACGCGCCCCAGTGTGATCTTCCAGATTAAAACTTATAAACTGCAGATACATCACAAACCTTACTTCTTCTAAGAGCCAGCTTCATCACTCTTCTATACAATACCTAGTAGCTGCTCGATGTTTGGTACAAGCCAAACTCCAGAAAGTCAAGGATTCGTATCATGAATCCCACAAGTTCAACTGTCCATCTGAAGGCAAATACAATCTTGGCAACAGCATCTTACGTGGACACGGATTTTACATGTCTGCTAGAAGACAACAGAAGTTTCATCAGGGCCAAATATCAGTGCTACATTATCAGAGGTAAGTACAGAACCTTTAAAATTTGATCTTAGTAACTCTGACTTAACTCCTGAGGAGAAGACGCAACTAGAGTGCTTCCTTTGCTTCACAAAGGTCAGTATTTGCATCAAGTCTTCAGGAATTGGGCAGAAAACAGATCTTCATTTGCACAAAATAGAAACAGGTTCAAATCAGCACCAGTACATATGCCTTTCTATCAAGCAATCTTCAAAGTAAGAGCAGAATGTGCAAGGCAAATTGATGAAATGTTAGCAGCAGGCATTATTGAGACCCAGTGAATCAGAATGGCGCTCACCAGTGAGTATATGGTGAAAAAAGAGGGACGGTAGTCTTAGATTTACAGTAGATTATAGAAAATTGAATGATCTTACCAGACCTATATTTTTTCCAATGCCAAGGCTAGATGATGTTATTGATTCAGTTGGGCAAACTCAAGCAAAATATTTTTCCGTTTTGGACTGTGCTAATGGCTTTTTAAGTAAGTGCAATTTGGATCCGGAAACAAAACATAGGAATTGCTTTCATAACCTGAGAAGGGATATTTGAATTCAATAGATTACCTTTTGGTCTTAAAATGCACCAATGGCATTTCAAGGCAACTATGTCAAAAGCATTGAGAGAAATGAATTGGCACGGTATGTCCACCTAATTTATGTTGATGATGTAATCATCCACTCAAAAGAACATTTCAAGAACACTTAAAAGCATTTTAAAATATGTATTTTTCCAGAAGTTGAAGGAAGCAGGTTTAACCAGCAAACCATCAAATGTCAATTTGCAGATAAACAAGTGAAGTATTTAGGCCA